ATGCAGCATGTGCTAGCTCATTGGATGGGTTTCAGACTGCATGAGGCTGGCTGGTTGTATAATGCTACATTCACACTAAACACACTTTGCAGCAGAAGCAGCCGGTTTTCATGCAAAGTCTGCTTGACGTGGAAAAATGTAACTTTTGCTGCTCACCGCGCCCCATCAACCAATCAGAGAAGCTGATCAAAAGCTGGCAGGGAGTCAGACACAGCACTGCTGATGCAGAGCGCTATGATCACTCCGCTGAAACAGTTTATTAATGCCTAAATTAACTAAGAATGTTAAAATACCTGAAAAAACAGTCACCACCAGCAGTAGGGGAAATCCCCAAGATGCAAGCGGGCCTGAGGCAGCTGCTGCTGGGGATTCCCAGTGACAGCGCACCGCCGGTGTCAATCCATCAATCCATCAATCAATCAATCAATCAATCAATCAATTTCTTTATTTTCAACTACAACTTGTATACATTTGGTTGGATGGGGCAGTGCCTCCACCAGGTGGCCAGGGGTGGCAACGGCAACCCTGTGCAATTCCCTGGCCACCCCACTAGCCAGTGTAAATTGTAGTGGCATCAGTTTTTAGCATTCCATTATGCACAGCCAGAGACGCAACATTAAAATTCATACAATAAACCAATATATGAGAAGGTGTTTGCTTAAGTCGTTATGATTTCTACAGGCAGGTTTATCAAAATAGAGAAACCCTTTCCAACCCTGAAATGATGGCTTTTATCTTCAGTGTGCCACCCCAAGATTATTAGTGGCCCCATCTGGCCCCCCATGAAACATTTCTGGAGGCGCCACTGGATGGCCATGCCTGCCGCAGAATGTTGTCATTGGTGTTTTCTCACAGCTGCCAAGGGCGCCACCATGAGGAGGTTCCCTTATAGCGCCACCTTTATCTCTGTGGAAAGATAGGAGCCATATTGGGGAGGGAGAGAGGGTCTGAGCGGCTCTGACCGCCAAATAACAGTATGGTAATCTGGGTGGACTTACTGCACAGATGAAGTTTTCACTTTCTCACTTTAAAATATATTAATACTACTTTTTACCAACCGATCACAGCAAATATAGCAAAGCCGCTCTCTGCCGTTAAGCCAAGGCGCAGCAGAGGCATCAGACGCATCTGGACACACTTTACCGCATTAAAGATTCTCTTGAGGCGCATCTGACCTTAATGTGGACTAGCATCAGAAATTAAGCAGCAGAAGCTTTTTGCTAATCAAAACGTGTCTGGTGTGAGCGTAGCATAATGCTCAGCTGTGTAGCGGTCGTCCTTTAATTGATCAGCTTTTCATAATAATCTACCTATGCCTTATATATTAGAAGTCTCACCGTTCTTTATGGTTGTCTATGTCGTTTGTTTTACAGAAAAATTATTTTCACAGACTTTAATATTCTTATTGTTCTCCTCTTCCCTTATAAGTATTCATATCTTGTATTTTTTTTTTTTTTGTCTTTTTAATTACACATTAATTTATTTTTCAGGGTTTATTTTCGCACAGTGTTTTTTTTTTTTTTGTGGCACTGCTGTTGTTCCGTACTAATCTAAACTGATCAGGAAGTGCAGGTATAGGAAACATTTATGGAAGATATGGATAAATGGAGGCTTGGATAAATGTTTTTCCATCATGACTCAGAGCTTTTCTTCTAAGCAAACCTGTTAACATTTTGTCTAATATGAAGCTTGTGAAAATGAACCACAAGAACTGCGTTTAGACTGATAGGAAATATGAGCATCACTTCAAACAAAGGACTTTCTTTTTCTTCCACCATGATGTTAAAAGCTGAACCAGTGGTTCTGTTGTGTCAAACGAGAAGCTTTGAAGGGATATTATGAATGAGAAGCCATTGAAATAAAAAAGGGCAATCAGCTAGATCTACAGATTTAGGGTGGAGATCTTTTTCACAGTATGCCTTGTGCATATTGTGTCTTATATGAAGTATTATTGAAGATGCAATACATTTATTTTTGTTTAGAAGTGTCTGTATTTTATAATGACCTGTAATGTCCCTTGTTTGTTATTTTTTTTATGATTGCATGATGTTGAAATGATTTAGTTCCA